GAGGGTTGATGAGGGGGGTGGGAGGGAGGGGGGGGTGGGTAATGGGCACTGAGGAGGGCACCTGTTGGGATGAGCACTGGGTGTTGTATGGAAACCAATTTGATAGTAAATTTCATATTAAAAAAAATTATGTTAAAAAGACCTATTACCTTCTTACCTGGGGATAATTACTATTAATATTTGTCTCTTTCTTTCAATCAATATCATTAAATTTATGAAAAATTATTAATCATATTACATGTACAACTCTATTGTTTTTTACTTGTGTCTTCATGAACATTTTTCATGTCTTCTAAAACATAATTTCTGGGGTACCTGGCTAGCTCAGTGGGTAGAACATGTGACTCACGATCTGGGGGGGTTGTGAGTTCAAGCCCACACTGGGTGCAGAAATGACTTAAAAATGAAATCTTTTTTTTTAATGTTTTATTCATTTTTGAGAGAGAGAGAGAGAGAGCAAGTGAGCAAGCATGCACATGTGAGTGGGGAGGGGCAGAGAGAGAAGGAGATGGAGAATCCCAAGCAGGCTCCTGCTGTCAGAACAGAGCCCATCACAAGGCTCAAACCCACGGACTGTGAGATCATGACCTGAGCCAAAATCAAGAGTCAGATGCTTAACCAACTGAGCCACCCAGGTGCCCCTAAAAATAAAACCTTTTTTTTTTTTTTCTAAAAATAAAGTCTTAAAATAATAATTCCTAATGACTGAATCATTTGTATGTTACAGAAATTTATGTTGATATATTAGACTATTAAGTTTCCAATTTTTCTTCAGTTTCCATCGTTTCAATGATATGAGAGTTATCATTATGCATACATATCCTTAGTCATAAACAGTGTGTATATGTTGATGTTCTCTTATATCCTTAAAATAAATTCTTGGAAATGGGGTTTCTGGTCAAAAAAAAAGGAAAAAGAATATGTTCAAAGTTTTTGAGATTTATCATCAATCTATGTTCTATACTATCTGTAAAAACCGACATTCCACTTAAGTGGAATGATTGATCAAAAAGAAATTATTTCAGATTGTTAAAATTAAAACACAACATCTTAAACTCCTTAAAACCTTAAATAATGTTGACCCCAGTTTGACATATACTGATAACCTCAGTACATCCAGACAGTAGCATATTTCACTTGGCAGAAGCAGTTACTGAATGGTAAATTAACACCTTTAGGAGATGACTCTATTATTTTTTTTTTTAATTTTTTTTTCAACGTTTTTATTTATTTTTGGGACAGAGAGAGACAGAGCATGAACGGGGGAGGGGCAGAGAGAGAGGGAGACACAGAATCGGAAACAGGCTCCAGGCTCTGAGCCATCAGCCCAGAGCCTGACGCGGGGCTCGAACTCACGGACCGCAAGATCGTGACCTGGCTGAAGTCGGATGCTTAACCGACTGCGCCACCCAGACGCCCCAGGAGATGACTCTATTAAAATAAAGTGAGGAAATGGTAAGTCTATTTTACTGTCTAAAGAGCATATATAATTTATATACACACTTATAGCTTATAAAGACATCTACTCTTTAAAAACTGGGAGGGGTGCCTGGGTGGCTCAGTTGGTTAAGCATCTGACTTCAGCTCAGGTCATGATCTCAAGGTTCACGAGTTTGAGCCCCGCATTGGGCTCTGTGCTGACAGCTCAGAGCCTGGAGCTGCTTCAGATTCTGTGTCTCCCTCTCTCTCTGCCCCTCCCCTGCTCGCACTCTGTCTGTCTCAAAAATAAATAAACATTAAAAAAAAAATGGGAAACTAAAACCCTAATTATAGTTATGATGTTTTATATAACTGAAAACAAGTGATTGAATAAATAAAAATGTCTGCTTTAGAAAAAGAATCACTATTCCCAAGGTATAAACAAATAACACTTTAATAAAAAGTTAGTTTTTTGTTAACTAATCTGTCACACAAATGTAATTTAACAAGAGATGTAGTCAATACCGGATATTCTGGCCAAAAATCTCTGAGAATGTGTTCTATGTGAATTTCCAGTTCGCCGATTACTCCCTGGTTCGTTAATATTCACTACTTCTGAAAAATGTAAATTGACAAGGTGGGGTTCTACTTACTACTCTGAACTGTTCTAATTTTTGGTTGCCTTTGATAAAAAAAGGGCATTCTTTGTCGCCTGTTCGGTGACCATACCGCTTACAACGCCAGCCTAAAAACAAAGAAAAAAGGAAATATTTCTGTAAGTAACAGTTTCATTTAATGAAGATGAAGAATCAGTACATCATATTAAAGTTTTTCTTCATTAAACTCCAATTCTAAAAGCAAATGCAATGACTGGATGAACCATGTACAATCCTAGAAAATAAAGGGAAACTGATTACTTCCCAAGCATCCTTTAATCGTGTAGCTTTGGGAGTAAATATTACCTCACCAGATAAGTATTAAGCAATCCAGTGTAAAAGTATTGTGAAGAGTGAATTTTTTTTGTCTGTAACTCACTGTATTTTTCAAAGAGAAGGTCTTTTCTATTCATCAAGTGACTCTGATCCTCATTTACAATTTCAGACACTAGAGCAAATAGCTTCTTTCTCTGATTGAATCAAAAACTGCACAATCCCTCCCCTTTAATTAAACCAAATCACAAATTATCTTAAAATGTTAATTTCATTAGCACTCTAATATGGCTTCACCTGCTGAACAGGGAAATTGTCCTTTGTAAAAAGTATATTATTTAGAAGCAGACAGCTGTGATGAGGAATGGGGAAGAAACACAGTAAGAAAATACATACACATGTTCCAGGACAACAGAGGGAAGTACACAACTTCGTGGAATTTTAGTGACTATGGACATGGCATCAGGCATTGAGATATAGGGAAAATGAAGTGGTGAACAAAGCAGGAATGGGTGAGATGCTTATTATTTCTCTCACCTGGTCCTCTTAGAACCATCTAGATTTGAGGTAAATCAGGAAGTCATATGAGAACAGTGAGTTAAATGTTTGGACATTAAGCAACTCCAACCAAGGAAGTCAGGAAGCAGGTAAAGGGATTACAGCTAAGATCAGCCAGGTTTGCTTCATGCTGACAGCTACTAAAAGCGTGAAGTGAATGAGAAGGGAAGTTTTTCCTTTTTAATTTTGAGGGCTGGAGGCAGGAAACCATTGAAAAAAAGTGAAGTTTGGAGATTCTTTATTGATTGCCTCCGAGCTGTCCCTGTCTTTCATTAACTCTCCTAATTAATTTAAAATTCAGGAAAGAAGGACTATACTCCTTCAAACCAAAGTCTTTTTTTGTGCTCAAAATTGTCGTATCATTAAAGGAAAGGTGATTCTTGCTATTCAAAATGTGGTCATGGACAAGCAAAATCAGCAACACATGGGAGATTGTTAGAAATGTATACTGTTAGGTCCACCCCAGAAATACTGACACATATTAGAATTTTAAAGGATTAACTGGTGATTTATAGACATGTTAAAGTTTGAAAACCACTGTTCTAGATAACACTACAATCAACAAAATCAATGAAAACATGTACATGTACATGTGTCTTTCATCCTGTCTGGGAGGAGTCCAAATTTTGTGGGGCCTGAGCTTAAATTATGGGTTTGTGGAAGGGGGCTCTTTAGAAAGAAAAATACCTTGCCTTGGCAAATTTTGCAAAATCGTATGACCGTATCAACACATCACTGGAACTTCTGCAGGTCCTTGAAAATCACAAGTGAGTAAAACTGGCTCTGGTCCCAACTCTGACACTTATTTTCCAAGTCAATGTACATAGCCATAAAATGGTAATTGAAATGTAAGTAACTACCTCATAAAAGAGAGCAGTGGTTTTCAAACTTAAAAAAAAAAAAAAAAAGCTGTAGACTTCTGGGTAAAGATGACAGACTAAATACATTTACCTGTTTTCACTCCCTTCCTGACAAGTCATAAAAATGAAAATGAAGAGAATTCTTTCCAAGGGGAATAAGCCAAGAAGCACTTCAAGAACGGCCAAGTGACAGCCTCCATAAAAGCACTGAAAATAGTTGCAAATTTGCCCACATCAATTTACTTGAAACCCTGTAAATTAATCAAAGGTTTGCCACAATCTGAGGACCATTAATTCAAGAAAAGCTAGTGAAGTTTGGTAAGAACAGAAGGGTTTCAGGCATTTTAACCAGGCCTACTCCCAACCCTCTCTCCTGATTGCCAGAATAATCTTGAAAACTAGCAGCCTTGCAACCATGACAACTATGAAAAGCAGCAATCCTGCACTCTCAATGGGGTAAGGCCAGGTTTTGAGTCTCTCAAAAATCCCTAACCCCAAAGCACAGAGCCACACTGGCAGGGTGTTGTTGCTATTTAACCAGTCATGTAGTTTACTCTACAGTAAAAGCCCAATCCCTTAGGATATTTGTTGAAAACAATTACCTGCAATTGTTTAATATCACAGCTCCCAACAGCTGTGATATGGATAAATAAGAGCCGAGCTAAAAATTTTAATGATCCAGGTAATGAGATGTCCACAGAGGGCTTTTAAAAATTCTGACCCAATCCTGGGAAGCTAGAAGGCTGTGCACATGTGCCAACATTTATTTTGGTTTTTTTTTCTTTTTAAGTTTTTTAAATGTTTTATTTATTCTTGAGAGAGAGAAAGAGAGAGAGACAGTGCATGAATGGGGGAGGGGCAGAGAGCAAAAGAGACACAGAATCGTAAGCAGGCTCCACGCTTTGAGCTGTCAGCACAGAGCCTGATGCAGGGCTTGAATGCACAAACCGGGAGATCATGACCTGAGCCAAACTTGGATGCTTAGCTGACTGAACCACCCAGGTGCCCGTTTTTTTGATAGTAGCCATCCTAACAGGTATGAGGTTGTATTTCACTAATTACTGATGCTGAGAATCTTTTCATGGGCTTACTGGATACCTGTATATCTTCTTTGGAGAAATGTCTATTCAAGTCCTTTGCCAAATTTTAATCAGGTTGTTTCTTTGTTGTTTTTAGGAGTTCTCTATATATTATAGATATAATCCCTTATTAGATATATGATTTACAAATATTTTCTCCCATTCTGTTAGTTGGCTTTTTACTCTTTTGTTAATGTCTTTTATTCACAAAATTTTGTGGTTTTCATGAAGTCAAATTTGTCTGTTTTTTCTTTTGTTGGCTGTACCTTTGGTGTTTCATCCAAAAAATCATTACCAAATCCAATTTTGTGCAGCTTTGCCCTGTTTTCTTCTAAGAGATTTTATAGTTTTAGGTATTATATTTAAGTCTTTGATCCACTTAGAGTTAAATTTTATGTATATTAGATAAGGACCCAACTTCATTCTTTTGCAAGAGGATGTCAAGTTTTTTTTAAAAGACTGCTCTTTCCCCATTTAATGGTCTTGGCTCCACCAAAACAAGAAATTAAAACAACAAAGATGAGTCAACATATAGGAAAACAGGAAATTCAAGACAAGAAAGAAGCTAAGGGAAACTGCAGAATGAGTGTCTTAGTTCCGGCTCCCATAATATAGAGTGGGTCACTTACACAATAGGAATTTGTTTTCTCATAGGCTAGGGACTGGAGATCTAAAATCTGGGTGCCAAAAGAGTTGGTTTCTGATGATTACTGTCCTCCTGGCTTGCAGACAGCTGTATCCTCTCATGGTGTGTCCTTACACAGTAGAAAGAGAGCAAGCTGTCTGGTCTCTTCTTAAAAGGAACTCATCAGGGGCGCCTGGGTGGCTCAATCAGTTAAGCCTCCGACTTCAACTCAGGTCGTGATCTTGTGGTTTGTGGGTTTGAGCCCCGCGTCGGGCTCTGTGCTGACAGCTCAGAGCCTGGAGCCTGCATTGGATTCTGTGTCTCCCTCTCTCTCTGCCCCTCCCCCCTCACGCTGTGTCCCTCTCTCCTTCAAAGATAAATAAACATCAAAAAAAAAAAAAAAGGAACTAATCATATCATCAGAGGCACCCTCAATACTTTATCCAATCCTAATTACCACCCAAAGGTCCTATCTCCAAATACCATCCTATTGGGGATTAGGGCTTCAACATAAGAATTTATGGAGGGACACAAACATTCAATTCATAACACAAAGTGAGGCGTGCCTAAGTGCCTCAGTTGGTTAAGTGCACGACTCTTGATTTCAGCTCAGGTCATGATCTCGTGGTCCTAAGATTGAGCCCTTGTCAGCTTCCATACTGGGCGTGGACCCAGCTTAAGATTCTCTCTCTCCCTCTCCCCTGTTCGCTCTCTCTCAAACAAACAACACAAAGTGAAGGGAGATTCCTGGATGATAAGCATGGGAGCAACCATTTTCAGAAGAATGTAATTAATACAATGTCTCAGGCATTTAGAGGTCTTAAGATTCAATCTTCAGAACAATTTGAGACTGAGTAAAAAGAAATCAGTACGTGGAAACCAAAAACAATAATAATAAAACACATGCACATAACACACACCAAAAACAAGATAACTGTTAATCTGGGGCGGGAGGGAGAGGGAATTAATTCAGGATGCATAAAGGAAAAGTAATCACTTTACTACATGACTCAGCTCTGAACATAATTATAATAAAGTAAGTACCCAGGATTATCTAACCAAAATTATGAAAAAACTATTTTGGGGAAGATGTGATATAGTAAGGGTACATATGTGTAGTAAGAGCTAAATTCTCATCTTCCATTGTATGATGTTAACAGATACCACCTAAACCTGAAAAATCAATGCAATGTAAATGTGATCTTAGGCACATGAAGATAAATATCAAAATAACCAACTAAAAGAGCTAAAAGTGGGAATGGAGAAAAAGAGACTGGGAACTATTTTAATTATGTGCATGAAGAATCTTTGTACAAACAAATGTCTTTAAACGGCAGCAGTACCCTTTCTTCAAATACCAAATACCACTTAAGCTGGATGAAGGTGTTGCGGCTCTGGTGGGGTGGGGGCGTGCACACACAGCACTCCTGCTCTGGACACCCACCTCAGGTCACATGGATGAAACCTTAACACCACTGATGGGGGGGGGGAGGTGCAAAGGACTGAGGCAAGACACAAAGGGATCTGCCCCCTCCAATGTATCCCAATGTACCTCCTTGTCCCTCCTGGCATTTCTACAACAGAGTATCCTTTCTGTTACTTGAATATTACCAAGGAGTGTACTCCAAAGGCAGCTACGGTCCTGTGGGCAACCACTGCCCTTGGGAGTCAGAAGCCCTGGAGTCAAAGCCCTGCTCTGCCTCTTGGACACTCACTAACATACGCAGCTCGGCTTCCTTAACTATGAAACAGACATCACGCCTTGGCTTAACAGGTCTCGGTGAGGGAAAAAAAAAGAGGTAAACACGCTCTGTGAGTTGTAATATATAACTTGTGTGTACTGAGGAGTGTTACCTGAAACTCTCCCATACTCACACTGCATAACTTTGACTTCTTTCCCGAGTGGCATCCAAAGTCCTTTAGTTGGTGCGTGAGCCAGAAATTCCCTGGCATGTTCGTTGCCTGGTACATCTGGTATACAGTCTTCCGGCTTAGTCTCATCTTCCTAAAAAAGGAAACAACATGTACACGACGTGGCAAAAGAGCACTGGAATTCTCTCCTACCTGCTTCAGAACACAGCACTGCCTGGCTTTCACATGGGCTGGACATGCCCACGTCATCCTGTTACCCTCTCCAGTACTAGAAAGACAAATTATACCTGACACAAAAACCAGAAATAAATATACCAGAAGGACTATATCATGAAAACAAAGTAGTTGTTCTTAGAGAAAGGTTACTAGTAAAGCAGAAATCTGCCCTTCATATAGGAATGATCTGTGAGCTCCAAATTCTAACGTAAATCAGATTTAAAGATCAAAAAAAGGTTCCATGACCACAAAATCTTAGTGGAATGAGGCAAGGTGTAACAATTAAAGTAGGGGCACCTGGCTGGCTCAGGAGATGGAACATGCAACTCTTGATCTCGGGGTTGAGGTTTGAGCCCCACGTTGAGTGTAGAGATTACTTAAAAACAAAATTTAAGGGGCATCTAGGTGGCTCAGTCACTTAAGCATCCGACTTCAGTTCAGGTCATGATCTCACGGTTTGTGAGTTCGAGCCCTGTTTCAGCTCTCTGCTGTCAGCATGGGGCCTGCCTCAGATCCTCCGTCTCCCCTCTCTCTGCCCCCCGCCGCCTCTCAAAAATAAATAAATGTTAAAAAGAAAAAAATTAAATTAAAAAAATATAAATTTGCCTGGCTGTTTCACTTGCTTAAGCATGTGACTCTTTGTTTTGGCTCAGGTCATGATCTAATGGTTTGTGGGTTCAAGCCCTGCAACAGGATCTGGGCTGACAGCGTGGAGCCTGCTTCGGATCCTCCCTCTCCTTGTCCCTCCCCTGTTCTTGTGTGCATGCTCTCTCTTGCTCTCTCTGAAAATAAATAAACTTAACATATGTATATACACATATACATATATATGTATATGTGTATATACATATATATTTCAAGAATTAAAACAGGATTATCTAGAATAAAAATGTTATGTTAAAATAGCTTATTATAACTTGAAGACCATTGTCATGTTTTCTAGTCACACACATGCTATCTCTATCTGTGAGTTGCATATTCACCACTGAATATATGCATTTACAATTAAAGAGGGTTTTTTTTTTCAGTTTCCATGAATATTTAATCTGTAACAGAAGAACATTTTCTAAAACTCTTTTAATTTAAAAATTTTTAATATATATTTTTTATTTTAGGTAGGCCCCACCCCTAACATGGGGCTTCAACTCATGACCCTGAGATCAAGAGTCTCATGCTCTACTGACTGAGCCAGCCAGGTGCCCCTAAAAATCTTTTCTTTTATTTGAAAGTGAGCATGCAAAAGGTTGCTCTGGCCTCTAAAGAGCCCTGTAAGTCTCACTCTCACAGACACTGGACAACATGGCCAGGTTGGCAGGAAGTGGTAGGGGGTGTCCTGCACCAGGGGCTGGACTAGAGGAGCTTCCAGTCTCCACACAGACTACTGTTCTCTGAGCTGACACTCAGGAAACCAGCAGTGAGTGAGTCAGAGATGGAGCAGAGCGGTGAGAAGATGCAGCCACAGCAGGAGACAGAGAAGGGGACCGATTGCTGAGGAACATGTGGGCCTGCCACCGTTTCTTAGGGAACAGTCACACGGTTGATTACATTTCTACAAAGACACAGGCTGGAGACACAAAGCCCAAAGTGTATGGACTGACTGGCATCTGCAGGGAGGAGCAGGGTTATGAGAAAAGATGTTCCAAACCTTATATAACAGTTTTTCATAACAAGTTACTGAGTCTGAGCACTGAGTCAAATATGTCTGAGAGAATAACCAAAGGTACAAACTTCACACTGACCTTGATAAGCCCCGGAGGAGGTTTTTCATAACTAGAAAGGAAAAGAAAAACTGCCGTCAATCATGTTAACAGGAACACAATACGTTTTAATGAGCAAAAAGCAACTAGAGGTCAAAATGAAAAGAATATCTTTAGTAAAACCTTAAAACTGCATTAGATCTAAAGCAGTTAGTAAAATACGCCCAGCAGTCAGAGATCTTATATAAGTAAACTGATGCTACACCACATCCTGCAGAGATCTAGAACTAAAATTCACTGAAATGGTAACTTGGTGTCTGAGCACAATGAATTTATTTTCGAAGAAGAGAAAGCAAGAGATTGCAGGTGAAATGTGTGGGAAGACCTAAGAGCTAATCATGCTTCCAGACTGTCACGGTTGTCAGGTTATTTACCTACCATAACTTCCACTTACTCAGCATGGAGGCTCATGTGGGGAAGGCTGAGGAATCTGTTCTAACCTGGATGGAGGCAGTGCAGGGGGGCAGGAACAAAACTGGAGGGAAGGGCCTGTTGCAGGGGATGGAGGCGATGGTGATCTGTCCTAGAGGCTTCCTTTCCCATATCCCCGCAGCTCTCAGTTCAAATCCTGCCCACTCACCCTGCCCGCAGAGTGAGCCATCCATTCCTCAGTTCTGACAGCCCTCTGTGCCCATACTGACCTCACTGGACTCGGGGTGTAGGACCCCTGCATGGTGCCTGGACGACATTCTTTACTGAATGATGCTAGAGCAAGCAGATGTATGATGTGTGGGAATGTACGTTCCCTTGGAGCTCACAGACTCCCAAGGGTCCTAAGGGTACATACGCATCATGTCTATGCTCCCAATTCATTTTCACTTCCTATCACTCTGCCGAAGTGCCCCAGAAGGGTTCTGGATTCCAAATCTGGAAAATCAACACCAAATGCTCATGTTCATTTTTAAGTACTGACACACTACTAGCTATAACACACACTGCGTGGGTATTTATTTGGCTTTTAACTGTGAATGTTGATAGGACCAAAAGCAAAAATAAGAATGAAAAAAAGAAACATTATAACCAAATATCCTGGGTCTATTCAACGCCTGCAAAGCACATTTTGCTGAAGATATCTGGCCATAGCAGCTAGCTAGTTTAAAACCGTGAAGACTCCAGAAAGTTGTAAATGTGAATGCTTTAACATTGCTGCACCCAGATGGTGAAGCAAGGGTGACTAATTAAATATTCTATAATGAATATGTATTACTTGTATCAACCGATAAACACTGATAAATCTTAGAAGAGTGAATTAGATACTGATATGGAACAATTTCCATTATAGTTTTAAGTAAAAAAAAAAAAGGTAGGGGGAGGGCAGAGGGAACAAAACAGTGTATTTGGTGAGCTTCTATTTGTGTGTATGGGAAAAAGGACACTATATGTGGCCACGTGCATGCGATGTGCCTGTGCACACATGCACACACACCAAGTTACCTCTACAAGGATATCTAAGAAATTGGTTGCATGCCTGCCTGTAACCAGGGAAAGGAACTACGGTTCATTAATGGCAGAGACCTGTGTTTCACTGTATTCACACCTACATGTACCAACCTACAAAATGCTTTTTAACTGCAAAAGAAAAGTGGTATCAATGGTATCTACAGCAATGTTGGTATTAGCCCAGGTTAACGTATCTCTGAGAGAAAAACCAAAGGTAAGTTGGGACTAAGAAAGAAAAATGGCGCCAAAATTATGCTATTAGGAGTTCATATCAGCTATAGAGTTATATAGGCTGCATTTCTCTTTTAACAATGCTGTTTCTGTAATTGTTTCAGGAACATAATCCCCACCCTAGCCCTAACCAACTTGATAGTTTCCTCCCACAAAAAGGGAGCAGGTACAATAGGCAAAACTAAATTTGATATTCAGGTAATATTAAGTGTTCAACATAAAAACTTGCTCCCTGTCGAAGTAACCAATCAATTATTGTCCCAGGCATGTTGCTAGGTACTAGAAGGGAGAACTAAGAGCATAACGATATATCTAGTTACATCCAAAAAAACACATAAAATGAAAAGTACTCGCATAAGTATCAATAGCTCTTTATAACTGCCCTGATAAAAGGAGATGGTCTATCTTTTTGGAGTATAAGACCCCAAATTCTAGTAGGAGTATTTTTCAGTTCCAAATCAGTTGAATGAGAATCCTGTAGAAGTGAAGCAAGGCAGAGCAGAAACTTCACGAGCTTTGGAGGTAAAAACCTTTGAATTATGATTCATTCTCACTGTGTACTGGGGCATGTTACTTAACCCCCGGAGCCTCAACTTCCACATGGGTGAACATATCACACCACACACTTCACAATGCTGGCTTTTGTCCCTTCTGTTGAAGACAAGTCCATGCTCTCAAGAGCTTCATGAAGCACCTCAAGACTGGAGGGAGCATTAGCATCACAGAGGCCGAGATCTGGACCAGCAGAGGTAGAAGAAAACAACGTGCCAGGTGGTAAATGACAAATGCCAGAAGACTATTCTAGAGCTTTTCTGAGCAGACAGAGGAGGATCTGCCCCATGAAGATTACATAGTAAACAACTAGGCATGAATAGACTTAGCTTTTTAGGTGTGCTACAGTTATTTTCCAAAGCAAATGTTTAAAATATTTTCAAACACAAAGTGGTGGCATAACCTAACAAGAACAATGTAAATCTGCACAAACTGGGGAAATGATACAGTTCTTCTGCAGTCATTCATTAGAAATATTGATGCAAAGAGACCAGGGGTGCCTGGGTGGCTCAGTGGTTGAGCGTCCGACTTTGGCTCAGGTCATGATCTCGCAGTCCCTGAGTTCGAGCCCCGCGTCTGGCTCTGTGCTGGCCGCTCAGAGCCTGGAGCCTGTTTCAGATTCTGTGTCTCCCTCTCTCTCTGACCCTTCCCCGTTCATGCTGTCTCTCTCTGTCTCAAAAATAAATAAACGTTAAAAAAAAAATTAAAAAAAAAAAAAGAGACCAAAGGGAGTTTGGTGGTACAGTCTATGAACCCAATAATCCAGTAACACCTCCTTTGAGCCACAAGAGTTGTACAAAAACAACAGATGGCCAAACGCAAATCCAAATTCCTGAAAAATATGTAATTGTTATTGCCAAGATGAAAAGGAGTGTGATGGAACTACACATTGTGAAATCTATTATTAGCAATGACATTCCCTAAAAAAAGTCAATTTACAACTGTTTTCACAAATTTAAAGGAAGGTAGTTGATGGCTGAAGGGTCCCATTGAAAAGAGCAGGCCAGCCTCCAACAACGCAATGCATTTTGCGTAAAAGGATTAATTACAAAGGATTTGACTCCTTTGAAGACTTTTCTTTACATGATCATCTTAGTACAGGTAACAGAAGTGCCTGAAAGAAAAACGTGTCATTTATTGAATAACCCAGGGAACAGCAAACTTACGTTTGCCTTCTGGAGCTCATTACAGAGTGACAATCACA